GCATTTAAAAAGATAAGCTATTGTCTTTAAGTTATAGAGTTTAATTTTTAATTAGATTATTTAATTAATTGCATTATTTAGATTTTCTCTATCCTTATTTATTTTGGTCCATTTGATGTCACTTGGATGTACAGAGGCGAATTAGTCTCATATTGTTCCAAGTTTCACTGTAGTTCTTAGTGTTGGTTTTTGTTTTGTTTGGGTTTGTTTGTTTGTTTTTCTTTCCATGATTTTTTTTCAATGCACACATGTATTCATAACTTGTTTTATCAGTATAAATTATATTTTCTACTTTTTTGAAGTTCCTTCTTTCATTATTTAATGTTCCTGGCCCTGAATCCAAGGTGGTTCAAAACTGAAATTGAGTCCCCTGCTTTCATTTTGTTTTCATTTGCCTGCTGTGTCTTTCATTGTCTTTTAATATTGAGTTATTTATAGATGTGTCTCTTGCAATAGTGAGTAGGTAGGTTTAGCACTGAGATTTAATCTTAGTCTTTTTTAATAGATGAGTTTTGTCCATTTACATTCATTGAGTTATAGGTATGTTTTATGTTAGTTTGATTATGTTATACTGTCAAGTTTTTAGTGTTGTTTTAAAAAAGATTTTTTTTGTCCTGTAATTTGCATTTCTTTACTCGTTTTATGTACCTTTCATTTCCTCTAGGAATACTTTGTTTCTTATTATTGGCTTCCCACTATAAACAGGACAACATACTTCTCTCCATTCTAATGCCACATTTTAGTAATTTAAATAGTTTTTCTTCTGATGTTTATCTTCACATCTTTGAAAACACTTAAACCTCTATTATTTGAGTTACTTGTATTAAATGATACTTTCCCATCTCTTAGTTGGCTATGGTTTGTCCTCTGTTAAAGTGTTTTTAAAGCTTTGGGTTGTGATTATTCATTAGTGCGACTGTGAAATCCCTTTGGTCAGTTACGACCAGCATGTTTTAAGAAATAGAAAAGAGCAGAATAGAAGAAAAGTAGCAAATGTGTCTTTCATAGTCATAGTAAATACTTCATGAGACTCCTTTCAGGATAGATAAATGTATATATAGATAGATAGTCTATACCAAGACTCAATGTAGAGTTAAATGTACTTACTATTGTAGGTGGCTTTACAAAAGAAATGTGAAAACAAGGCTTTATAACATCTTAAAGGAAGGTCCTTTGGAGTTAGAACGCCCTGCTTACTGACTACATAGTTCACCCTTGAACAACTGGGGTTTGCACTTCAGTTGTGCACTTATGGGAGCATTTTTCAGTAAATACGTGCTGCTGTACCACATGATCTGTCATTGGTTGAATCCGTGATGCGGAACTGCGGATATGAGAGGCCGCCTGTGAAGTTATCCTCGGGGTTTCAGCGACGTTGGGGGTCAGCATCCCTAACCCCTTTGTTGCTCAAGGTCAAGTGTATGAAGTGTTTTCCTCCTGCTTTCTAATTTGAGTTTTCTGGTTATAAAATTCTTGAGTGACCCTTCCTCTCACCTAGTGTGTTATATTTTTGCTCTAAGTCAGTTAGTTGGGGAACTGCGCTCTCCCGTGATTGCTGAGATCTGTTCCCCTTGGGTACCTCTCTCTGTCCTGCCGCAGCCCATTGGATCCAGTTGCATAAGGCAGCCCATTCAGGTATTCTGTCATTTGGGATTTCAAAAGACTCCTGATTTCAACAAACACTGGGCTTATTTTTAAATAATTTGGGGGGACTTATTTTTTTATTTCCCAATGTCCTTGTTGTTTAGGGTGGTTTCAGAGAGGTTGAGGGGAAGGAAAATTCATTATTCCACTAACATAAAAGCAGAAATCCTCTCTAACTCTCCAGGGCTCCTTGGTAATACACCTGCCAGCATGTACCCCAAAGTTCGACCTGCTTTAGAGATGAGGAGTTTGAGGGTTACTGGGGTTGAAATAGGGTCACACAGTTCGGTGAGAATGAACTGACAGTCTTCAGCCTGAATTCTACATATATTGAACCATCTATTGCTGGCCTTTATCCATGCAGCTTTTATTTCTCTGTTTGCTTTTAATAAGATCTAATTCCATGATGGTGGCTTTATTTACTAGCTGGAGTTTAAGTACGCAGCTCAGTTTCAACCTACATTGGAGGAACCTCAATGAACCAAACCCAAGAGAAGGACAGGGAGAGGGCCGCGAAGCCCCGCGCTCACTGCTCTCATGTACCGCTTGCCCTGAGTTGGCTCCTTTCTGGTTCTGTCTCTTTTAATCCTCACACCCATTCTGAGCTGGCATTATTATCCCTCAGATGGAGAAACTGAGACAGAAGGGACAGGCAGTAACTCCTCAAAGTCAGAGGTTAGAAAGTGTTAATAACCTTTTCACTGCCTTTCTGCCTCCCGGGTTAATCACGTTCACTCTCGACTTTGACTCTGGGCTTCTGTAAAGATAAAATCAGAAGATTCACAGAAGGGCCTCGCAGTGTTTTGTTTTCATCCTTCAAGCCGGTGATGCTGCTACTGTCCGTGGACTAAGGGGCCACGTCTCTGAGCAGCAACATAATCACACCCAGCACTTAGCTCAGCGTGTTTTCAACCTGCAGTTTGTAGCCGTCAATTAGTTCCTATGAGGTCAGCCATTGTCTCCTTTCACAAATGAGGCAGCCCCTGTGGAGAAAGCTTAAGTGATTTTTACAGGATCAGCAGTGGTCCCAGGAGAGAGAGGTGAGACTGGGCTTCTCCATCCCAGGCTCAGCCCATCCATGAGGACTCTGCTCAAGTGTTCAGTTGTCACAACTCTCTTCATAACCCGTGCTGTGACAAGGATGCCTTCTCTGACTTCCGCTGTCAGCCAGTGTGGTCTATACCATGGCAACATATGGGAAAGAGACAGGTCAAATCAAGGATTTTATACACAGAAAACTCATTTTTACTATTCAGTTTCAGGTACTTCAGACCATGAAGCAAAGACCATTTTGATGAAAAGTTGCTAATAATATAACATTTTCTTCGTAAAAATTACATTGAGAAGGGCTGTTAGGAAAGGAACCAGCTAATTTTGCGAGGACTGTCAAGAAGTAGAAAGTGAAATATATTTACTTTTGTTCTTTCGGCAGTTTTTAGTTTCACCAAGAGAGTTCCTAAATACTTAGCCATACAAAGTATGGCTAGCTTAAATAAACGGAGGAAGGAGATGGTATGCAATTCGCTCCACCCTCCCTCCCAACTAAAAACCTTATTTTTTTAAATCCTTGCATTATAATGGAAATAGCCTCATATTTCACATTGGGGTCCAAGCATTCTTGGAGAATTTATTTTTCTCCTTAGTTAACATTTTTATATATAGCATTTCATATATAGTGCTATTTTGGAGGTAGCAAGTATACAAACAAGAGAAAAAAAATTCACTTAATATGAAAGTAGGTGTCCCAGCGCTTTTCCGTTTCATATGTGAAGTCCATCATCTCCCATGATAACTTTGTTGACAGCACCCCCGAATGTATTTGGAGCCAGGTTTTATAAAATAGACCCAGAATCATATGACTAATTGACCCAGCTTGTGACACCAGTCAGCCTCAGATAGATGGTACATTTTCTGTTTTAAAGACTCAAACAAAACTTTTCACATTTTTCTTTGGGGAAAAAAAAAACTTACATTTGAAGTCCTTTTTCACCCAAACACATTTAGAGATAAGAGCTCACAAGTCTTGACATTATTTCATTTTGTTCTGCGTATCTGTCAGGGAACCGAGATACGATACAGCTACTAAAAACTGACGATTGTGGAACAGAGAAACTTGACAGCATTTCATTTCCTTTATATTCTGATTATACATTTATCAGAAAACCTGTATCTTTTCCAGTTCAGCTAGAAATTGGTAGAATTCAGGAACTCAAAGGCTCGGCAAAGGACTGTCCTATTATTTGGTATCATCTTACATTTTAGAGAAGTTGCTTGGTTGAGTCATTGTTAAAGCTTTTGATTCTCTTTTCATTCTTGTGACCCAGTATCCACAGATCACATTTCTATAGGCCCTGTAACTGCTCTGCCGCACAAATTAAACGCCAGGATATTTCATACATATACGCCAGCGTTTGAATGCTTGTCAGTCAGAGTTTATAAAATACAGGTGTTACAATCTGATATTAACATCCACATCCATTGTGCTCATCTTGTGTGTGAAAATGAGAAACCTTCGTGCAGACGCCCGATTTCCCAGCCTCTTTGTCACCCTGTTTTTAATTTATCTCCAGGTTTTGAGTCCGTGAGATGATTTTGCTTATCATTTTAATGTAGTGATAAAACATCTGTGAATCAGGATGATCAGAACTGAAGTGGAGCTACAGGTTGTTTGCCATGAAGCCCAGCCCCACTGAGGGTTTTAGTGGGGCTCCCTCCTCCGTGGAACAAATACATCCCTGGTTTTTTAATTGTGCCTCCCCTAGTGATAATCATTCGCGTCACATGAAGAAGTGGACATAGAAGTGCATTGCCTTAGGGAGGAGGACTTTGTAACTTTTAAACATGTTTTTATACCTCTGTGTTTTTCCCCCCCAGGTGTACTTCAGAAGGAATTATCCGGATATTACTCACAATGGCCCTGTGGTTATGAACACCTCCAATGGACAGCCCTCAGCCTTAACAATTTTTGAGACAGCACTGTGATTCTACCATGATGTCAAGTCTGTTCCAAAGGCATTTTTTTCCCAATAGTTTTTGCACTGTGTAAACTGCATTTTACTTTTTTTTTTACACAAGCAACAAATATTTACACATACAAGATGTTCAGTTATTTGAATTTTTTTCCTCCAACTTCACCCAATGATTTCATACTCTAACAAGATGATTTATTACTTTTATTTATATGTTCTACTTTTTTTTTTCCGTTATCTACATCACAGGTGCAGGCCACCAGTAAAATCTTACCAGGTTTTGTGCCTTAAAGACTCTAGAGCCAAAGTTTATTTTCTAAGGTGTAAGACAGCTTTGTCAAAGATGTTTTTTACTGCCCCTTAAGTCACATATTCCTTTCCAATTATATCAGGGATTCTATTTACTTGAAGACTGTGTGAAGCTGCCATTGTCTCTCACTACTTTCTTGAACATAACTAGGACACTATTCCCTCCCAAAGGCCTGGTTAAAACAGTACAGAAAAAACAAAAAATACACTGCAGTTTACGTGGCATTATAGTAGCGAGAGCCGCCCCTCCCCACCCCCTCAGAAAAGATAAACGGTTAAAATACAGGAGGACAATATTTAATTATGTTTAAAAGAGATGGATGAGAAAATAATGCTTTCTTAACATAGGAGCCCTTCCAGGGGATTTGATCGTGAAGAACAAACGTGTGATCATTGACCGTCTTCTAGATTTCATGGCTTTGACAGGCTAACCGTTGACAGTTTCAGACTCGGCTTGGGGATAATTTTCAAAAAAGGCCAAGCCACTAACTGTAGTTGCTGACTGTATCGTGGTGGTTTTATTTGGATTTCTGTTTCCCTGATGGTTGACCCTCTGCTGCCTTTTGGGTTAGCATTCATTGAAATCCTTTCTAAATCACATGCTCAGGCTCTCCTGACTTGGTGAGAAAGAGAGAAAATCACTGCAGACGGTGGCTGTGATTACACAGCGTGTTCTCAGGATGCGTCAAGAAGAGTCACTTCCGTGAGCCCAGGACAGTTTACTTCTGACCACTAATAGGACTCTGTTTAGATCTTTCTAATCACTAGTTCAGCAAACCACAAGACTTCCTCGCGCCTCCTGTGCTTTATTTGAACCACGGCCCCTTAGTTTTTCTCGATGGTCATGGCTGTTTTGTGTTGAGTTCAAGTTACTCAAGGTTTTACCGTCGTGGTTTTAAGTGGACCTTCGTGACGTCTCACAATGAGGTTTAACTGCCTTCAAATTGCATATGTTAATACATATGCCTTCTGATAGTGGGTTTTTGGTCTGTAACAGAGAAAAGGATGTTTTATAGAATCAAGCCTTAAAATGCACACACACAGCAAACCACCAAAATACATTGGGTGCAGTAGCAGTTTGACCCTTTGTGTTAAAAATAATATGGTTAATGTTTAAAGTTGTGTGGTTGTCATGGTTCCTATTTCAGATGACTGAAATGGCTACAAGGATAATGATGAGGTTTGTTAAAACTGGAAATATTTGAAATGAAAATGTGTTCATTTTGTCTTTAGTGGTTAAAGGCAGTTAAATATGTTTCTGCTTTATTTCTGTTTTAATGTCATTATAGAATTTTTTAATAAAACAAAGTTCAATGGAAATAAATGACATCTCCATAGATCTGTATTTTTGTTATTTGAGGTGTAACTAACTCATGTCCTTGCTGTTGAAAGCCAGTGAGTTCCAAAAATATCTTCTGTTATCAGCCAGTTCCCTTGGCCATGTGGGTGCACCAGATGCTCTAAGCAGAGAGGTGGGCTTCAGGTAGATTTACACAGTTGCTGTTGAAGTAAGCCCAGTTGTACCTCTTCCAAGAAGTGAAAGTATTAGCTTATGCCCCAGGCTTGAACCAAATATTAAAATTGTTGAAGTTTTTATTTTTTTGAAAAGTGACTTTGCCTTAAACTTGTAAGAAGTCTCTATTGCTGCTGCATTTAAAACACCTATAGGACATTGGTTCTCAGGGTGTGGTCACAAGGCTACGCGCATCAGCATTACCTGGGAACCTGTTAGAAATGCACATTCTTATGTCTCACCCAGTATCTACTGAATCGGAAACACTGGTGGTAGAGACCAGTAGTCTGTGTCTTAACAAGCCCTAAAGGTGGTCCTGATGCAGATGGAAGTCTGAACAGCAGTACCATAGAACATAAAGAGCTCCTAAAACTCATTAAAAAAAAACTCAGCCCAATTAGAGAAATGGATGAGAGATTCAAATAGGCATTTCACAAAAGCGAATATCCAAATGGCCAATAACTGGAGAAGTGCTCAGTCTCATTAGTTACCAGGGGAATGCAAATTAAAACTACAATGAAACACCACTAAAAGCCCAGTGGAACAGCAACATTTAAAAGGTTGAGAATACAAATTGAGCGCCAATGGAGCAGTGGAAACTCCTGCACTGCTGTTCACATGAAAAAGTGTATATTGGAAAATAAACTTAGGAAAACAGTTTGACAGCATGTATTCAAGCTGCACACCCTGTGGTCTATTAATTCTGCTCCAAACATATATATGTGTTCAAGGATGTTTCTAGAAACCTAATTCCTAATAGCCTCAAGGTGGGCATAATCGAAATGCTCATAAACCATGGAAGGAAAACGGACTGTGATGTAATAGAACATCCCACTGCAGTGAAAGCAGTTAAACACCAGCAGTGCAGGTGAATCACAGACTTAAGCCTGAGCCTTAAAGGGTATTTATGATTTCATTTGTACGAAGTTCAAACTTGGTTAAGGCCAAACCTTAGTGTTCAAATGAGTGCTTCACACCATGGGGAGGTGGAAGGTGTTGGTAATTGGGAGAAATAGAAAGGTAGCTTCTGAGGTGCTTGAAATGTTCTCTTGTTGGGGTGGCGGTTAGACTGGGGTTCGTTGGGCTCTTCAGTTATTTTCCACACTTCTTTGTTGCATGTCATACTTCACAATGGAGTGAACTAAGAAAAAAAAAATTCTCAGCCTTGCTTTTATTTTAGAATCGGATTCACATTCAGTGGCTCAGTCATCCAAAAGTGAATCATCTGCGTGCAGGGAGTTACTTCTGCTAAGTTTTAAAAATCTGGTACTGTTCAAGGGCTGTCTTACAGCTCAGCGAGTGGCCTCATTTGAATTTCTTGGTACAAGAGACATTGATGTCTGTATTTTCTAGAATAAAATGAATCCTATTTCCTCTCTCCAAATGGTTCTGATTTTTTTAAAAAATCCCTTTATTGAGTTGTGATTGATGTACCAAAAGCTTGTACATATTTCATGGAATACAACTAGATGAGTTTGGAGATAAGTATATACTCATGAAATCAGCCCCACAATCTATGCCATAAAAATACTCATCACCTCCAACATTTCCTTCCACCTTCTTAACTTTTCAATCTTCATTAGTAGGAAAGAGATACAAATAGATCAGTTTAGTGCTAAATGCTTTTGATAACACCACAAATGGTTAGTGTCTTGTAAAGAAACAAGTCAATTCCGTGAGGCAGTGATTTAGACTAAGTATTGTGACAATTTGGTTTTAACTGTTAATTGGTTGATTAAGTTTGACTGATGAAAATCGGTGTTTTTCTTAACGAAAGTTTGACCAGAAACATTAGAAGCCCTTCTGCTCAAACCCGAGTACTTGTTTGATATCTAATTCTGAAAAGTTTAATGCTGTTCAGAACTTTACACCCTGAAGTGTGTTAGATTTATCACCTGAATGTGTAAGTTACTATCCACAACTGATTCTGTTTTGGAGTGTTTTCAAGACACATCTCGACTTAGAAAGCTGACATTTAGGACACCACATCTCAAGAAAAAGCTTCTTGTAATTTCACTTATGTAGTTCAGGGAATGGGTGAACTTACATTTGATTAAAAAGAAAGATATCTTTCACTTGGAATAAAAAAAACTGAGAAAGTTCAAATTAAAAACAAAAAATCCTAAGAGCTGTGTTTATGATCAACCCAATTTAGTCGCCAAATGACCTAATTCTCCGAAGTTCATTTATTGAAAATTGAATAAGCATCTGTCACTAAAGGAAATTCTCCATAATAAAAGTACAGAGTACATCATCACACAAGTATAGATTAAAAAATAACATATGGGTTTCCTCAAGAATTGCAGCATTTATGGATTAATTGCCACAAGATTTGTGGCATATGCATTTAAATCCGTATCAAACTGAAGATTTTAAACCGGAGGGTAACCACTCACACACATCCCTGTTTCCATCATTTTGTATTCTGTTTTTGGGTTTTAAACTTATTATGTGTATAGCCAGCAATTTTCAAATAAATATCCTCCCCGAGTAGTGGAGTCTTTTTGATACATGTTGCATTTTTGGGTCTCTGAGATACAAACTTGGGTGGAATTTAGCGTTGGGATTTTTACCAGGGGTGCCCTTGGGATCAATACCTGTGGAACCAAGAGGGGAGAGATAGGACAGGCAGAGGGAAAAGTCAAGGTCCAACGCTGGCCAGACAACCTTAGGTGACTCCATCAGGGCTCCAGAGTGAAGATGGCCCCTCAGGGGTGTCCTGACCTGTCTGATGGCCAGGTCTCTGTACCTCCACTTTGGTCAGTCATTGCATGTAGGCGGCCCCCAGAGGGGCTGGTGGCTTAAAACTGCCCACTGGCACCACTCCCAGCAGCTGGAGCAACGGGTCCTTGAAGGGAGGTCTGTGCAGCACGTCTCCATGCCCCCCACGGTGTGTGTCACAGCTCCAGAGCTGGATGACTAGGATGTACCGTGATGGGAAACTTGGTGACTGGTGTTTAGTTCAAAATGTCTGATTAAGCGAGTGTCCTCAATACCTGTGGTCTAAAAAATAGAGAAGGTCCATGTGGGCAGATCCCTCATTCTCTAGCGTCAGCCTAGTTTCCACCTCTTTAGTTTTTCCGTTAATACCTTGAACCACCTGTCATTTGTTAAACTGAACCATATTTGGGTTAATGTCTTTTTTTTTTTAACTTCCAACTTAACAATTTTATTTTCAAAAATTTTTCCAGCTTTATTGAAGTTACGATTGACAAAAATTATATTTAGGTTTCATATGATTTAAAGTACACAACACGATTATTTAGTATGCGATTATCACAATAAGCATCCATCACCTCACATGGTTACCAGTTACTGTCTGTGTGTGTGATGCGATCTGCTCTCAGCAGATTTCAAGTCTACAGTCCAGTCTAGATCTCTACTGACTGTCCATGAACAAGGAGGCTGTTGCTCATTTAAACTAAACACCTCCTCTTCCCTACGTTCGTTTTGTTTTTTCAGCTGGTTACCTTTGTTCTATTTCTTTTCACCACTTAAAAAATATATATCTTGAACCCCTAATTTGCAAGATGGCAATTATGGAAACAGCCGTAGTGCTTACTATGACCAGGCATTGTTCTAAGCCTTTTACATGTCACATCTTGAAACAGTTAATTTTTAAACAAGAGACCCTGTTTTTTCCATTTTGCACTGGGCCCTATAAATTATGTAGCCTTCCCTGACTATGAGTATTTACAGCTGGTCTGTTTTCTCGCTATACCAGGAGTGTCTAAAGAACTGTGAACTGTTCACTCTTGCATTGCATCTTCCAGCACAGTGTCTGTCACAAAGGAGGTGCTCGGTAAACGTTTGCTGAATGAATAAGTGATGACTAAGAACAAACCTTCCTTCTAAACTTTATAATTTTGTAATGTTAAGGGGTAGCTGGGGATAATAGGCCTGGCTTTGGAGTCCATCACACATCTCTGCATGCCAGTTCTTTCTTTACCGCTTGATAGCAAGGTGGGTGCCCAAAGAGTGAGTTATCCAAAGTGAGACACTTGAAAGAGAAGGAACAGTGATAACCAGCCAGGGCAATAAGCTGGCACCACCCCGACAGAGTGGGCTGTGGTCACCCTACAGCCACACAGCCTTAGTCACATGCTTGCGTAGGTGTCTCAACCTCTTTGAATCGCAGCTTCTTCATCTGGAAAATGAATACATTTCCTGCCCTTGCACACTGGCTTTGGTCGGAATGACTGATGGACAAAGTGCATCCAATGAAACAAAGTACGGACGCACCGACCTTGGTGATTCTTAATCCCCAGGAGAGGAGCGCAAGACAGCTGTGGATGAAGGTAGGTTTGTAGACTGTGGAAGGTGTATTTGAGGAGGTCCTCACCTGGCGGCCTAAACCAAACTGTTCTTCCTTCACAGAGAGAGAAAATGTAGCGAGCACACAGGGAGGGAGGAGCCCCAGCTCAGGGGTCAGCCTTCTGGGGCCAAATACTGGCTTCTCTGGGCCCCGGCCAGCTGGGTTTGGACTCGAGTTCTGCCACCTGCTAATCGTGGGCTCTTAAGGTTGGAAGCACACTGCTTCAGTTCCTTTGTAAAGCTGAGGCGGGGATAATACATTTCTCAGAGGGCTGTTGCAAAAATTAAACATGACAGTGACACTCACAGTATGGGCTGTGGGCTAGTGCCAGTTTGTGAACTGTTCGTAACTTGGGTTGAAATAAGTACAGGAATTTCTGCTTTTTTTTTTATAAAATACATTTTTATTGAAGTATATTTGATTTACAGTGTTCTTGGTGTACAGCAGAGTGATTCAGCCTTACATATATATAATACAGAAATTTCAAGAAAGCTAG